TCTTCTTTCTTGAATCTTATCCAGTGTATCAACAGTGATCCATTCCTTGTGGTGGTGCTTCTTGTGACCCAGGACCTCATGACATGTTGAAGTGATTGCCTCTTTGATCCCCTTCCAGTTGCTCTCCACAGTAGTTCCTTCTCCATTGAGTAGATCATGAAAGGCCTGGAACTTGTTGCTGAGGACTATCTTGAATTTATTGAGTTTGTTAGTATCCTGGAGAAAGGCCGTATTGAACTTTTGTGATACTGTCTGCCCCGTTGTCCAGTGCTTCTTGAGTTTCAATTTCATCTTGGCGACCAGTAAGTGATGATCTGATGCTATATCAGCTCCTCTCTTGGTTCTCACGTCCTCTATAGTCCTCCTGAACGTTTTGTTGATGCAAATATGGTCGATTTGGTTTTGTGTATGCGTTTATGTGGGAATACGGTGTCGCCTATGACCAGCTTATTGAAGGCACATAGATTTGCAAATCTCTCACCATTTTCGTTTCTTTCTCCCAGTCCGTGTCGTCCCATGATGTCTTCATATCCAGTGTTGTCCGTTCCAACCTTGGCGTTGAAATCTCCCATCAGAATGGTCAGGTCCTTTGTTGGGCACTTCTCGACGATTGACTGCAGCCTATTGTAGAATTGATCTTTAGCGTCTTCATTGTAGTCGTTGGTAGGCGCATAGCATTGGATGATGTTCACTGAAATGCCCTCTTTCTTTGTTTTGAAGGAGGCTTTGATGATCCTTGGTCCATGAGATTCCCATCTTATAAGTGCATGTTGTGCTTGTTTGGATAGCGTCAATGCAACTCCTTGTGTATGTGGGACATTTTCTTCTTCATGGCCGAAGTATAACAGAAGTTCTCCTGAAGCTAGTCGTTGTTATCCAACCTGCGTCCAATGTGTTTCACTGATCCCAAGTACCTCTAGGTTGTATGTCTTCATTTCTGCAGCAATTTGGAAGACTCCCGGTCTCCCACATTGTACGAGTATTCTGTGTACCTAAATAAATGGTTGCTCTGGTTGTCAGAAGGGGCATCGGCCTCGTAACTTCCGAAGGAGTTCGGCTTTCATCATGAGGCGTCATAATTCTTCTAAATGAAGACCTTCTGACTCCCAGGGCAGAGTTTAAAAGGTTTGAATATTTTTTTCTGGTTAGCGTTTTTTTAGCGAGTTAGTCTTCTACGGGATGGGGACGCTAACCTCAAGCCCAACCCTCCTCCTTTATCCGGGCTTGGGACCGGCAGTAGCCCCCGGAGGGACTCCAGGCGGAGTTTCATAGAAACCTAAAGAACTTTTATCCACTGGAAACTACGCAAGTATCAAACGGTTATCATGTTCGATAATCCGATGAGTTAACTGCCGAAATTATAACCAATGTAAGTTGCTTTCTTAGAAGATTCTAGAGTCTGAAGTTCATTTGTTAACTTAGAAATACAAATTGTTGTTAATAAATGAACTAAACTTGGCGATGAAACCTACCTCACATTTCTAGTAACTTTGGGATTTAAGAGCTGAATATTATGAGGAATAAGAAATCGACTTGGAAGCAAGTACGATATGCAAGGCCTAACAACTATATGAATCAATTATCAACCACATATTTTTTATATTAGACACTAGCGAATAAAACACAATATGTGATGCCAACTTAGTATAAATCGTCCTGGTATTGAAAAGTAACATAACAGTATATTTCAGTGTATTATGACGGGTTCTATGAGAAGGATAAACATAATTTAATATTACGTCTAAATATTTCGTCTGAAGTATTTTACAATTTAACAGTTAGAGACCACTTCAGTGTATGTTGTTTATAGGACGGATGTAGGAAAATGAACGAGGTATTTCAATTACAACTTTTTACGCAGATTACACGAGAAGTTGTGGTTAGAATATCTCAATGATAACGTCTCTGACTGATAATAGATGGTGTGGATTTGAATGTCACTGAGAGCACATGTTCTTATCATAGAGGTATCGACTAGCACGTACTAAGGACTTTCTGATGATCACCACTAATCACCAGCCTAAATTTAAACATCATAATTGTGCCGAATACCACTAGTGTATCCAACCAGTGGTGGTGTTCCAGCCATTTAAAGCTGGTTGAGCCTTATTTGGTGAAGCCTAAGTGACCTTTCTCAAATTGTTTTCTGTGATCAAGGCTTGTTAAATCACAGATGTGATTTCGTAAGGAAATCGATACCTCTGGGTCTTGGTGAGCGAGTGTTCCACCATGAAGCAAGTATATGTTACAAAATGCATACTGGTAAAACAAACGTTTCCACATATGCACCCCTTAAGATATAGAGATATGCTCACTCTAAGAGGGAATATACGTTACATACACACCAATAACACACACGTTTCCACTTATGCATCCTATAGCATACATATAGGTATCTTCACTCACCTGGGAGTGTAGGTGGTCACAGCTCCCTTTGAACATATTTACTAAAACTGACTACCTCTTATTCATTACATGCATACAAGTGGTATATAAACTTTCGTCCATGAACTTTACGACATACACATAAGCATAAGGACTATCAGGGAGGATTGATGGTTACCATTCCGTAGTATTTGCTTCCATATCTTATTACGTTTTCGACCTGATGGTTTGGGCCTCTGATTTTATTAGACATAAGGCAAACATTTCAGCTTATTTTCTTTTTGCGAGTGATAAGCATTGTTAATTTGAACGCTTTATTCGGTTTCTAAGATATTCTGGTAACCCGCAAGCTAGAACTACGCAGCGACCTGAACTCGAGAGAAAAGGCGCAAAATAAGCGAAAAACACGTTACTCCAAAGGTTCATTTTTGTACAGAAAAACAAGGGTATTTATAGATGCTAACATTTGTTAAATCAACATCATATTTTGGCCAATCCGCTAAAAGATATATTATGCCATTAACCAATAGTAGCACGCCACGCTGATGTTCTAGAATGCTCCATCATGCTCTGATTGACTAGGACTCCTCGGCTCATTTAGAGCCTCTGGAGGCTACGTTGCAGCTCTCGGAAAGCCGGCTCAACAACGAGCATGGTGCGTATTCTTTGCCTAAATACACCACTACACAAGCCGAGATTCATGCACTTCATAAACATCAGTACAAATATCGGGCAGCCCGCAAGATTAAGTGAGTCCCGAAATATTCATTAGCATTGTTATTGTTCACACCGACTGATCTCTGATTAATAACGAATATGGTGTTTATCTAGGCCTTAGTATTAATCAGATATCAGCACCAAACTGTAAGATGACCGATTATGGATAGTCTTTGTTGATAAGTACCGACTGGCATGAAAACCAGGTTCACATCTTTCGCCTCATTTGAGTACTAGAGGCTTGCTCAAACTTCTAGGCCATCCGTTCTCGAGAACATGCACTTATTATCATCAATATTCATGTTTTAGATTTGTTTTAATTAGGTAATTCGTTTTTCTAATTACGTGTCCCCACACATTTTCTTATAGTGTTTACAACCTATTACGAATCTTATTAGTGAAAGCCTTAAGAAGTGCCGACACCTTGGTTCATATATATATATATATATATATATATATATATATATATATATATATATATATATATATTTCTCTCATCGAGAAACGGGGACCGATTACTATAGAATTTATGCATAAAATGTAAAAAGTGATGTCTTGGGAATAGAACTGATAGTAAACATTAGCAGTTGGATTTCTATTCTAGATAATCACAGTAAGTTTTCCATTTGCAAAACGCCAATCAATTGTATCAAACCTGACTGATTCTTTTTCTCCACACTAATCACTGTCTGTTCACGTTCTCTTCTATTCGATCTACTTAACCTTCTATCTCTAAGTATCTTAATTTCAATTGATGATACATACTACTTATTTCAATCGATATCAGTAACACACACCACACTATAATAAAATATAAAGCGTTAAATAAAACGAGTATTATTATCATTAATTATTTTAATGACCCAACATAGTCAATGTCAATAAATTTGCTGATCGAACATTCTATTTACTTACGTACTTACTTACTTACTTACGCCTGTTACTCCCTATGGATCATGGGCCGCCGACCAGCATTCTCCAACACACTCTGTCCTGGGAATCGAAAATTTCACACTATGACTAAAGACAATTGACAGATAATTTGTCTTTTAAAGTAACATGGCAACATCCAAATTTATGTCCATTTTTCCATTTTATTACGTAATAAAAGGAGTCAAGTCTAGCAGAAAATGAATGTTGGTTAATTAATTAATACTATACTTGACTTTTTGCAAACATTCATGTCATAAATTAACTATTAAAATGTCATTCTATTCATTGAATTATGCTCCGTTCTAGGAGTAAAGAGAATGAATGACAATGACAATATGTTCAATGTTTGCATTTTATTGATCAATTATGAATTAATAGATAGTTATAGATAGTATAAAATGGTATTGTATAAATTGCTTTACAATTTAATGTTTTATTTATTGTTATTGAAGTAAGTCATTATCAGCTGTTTATATCAATAATTTCACATTCTTATGATACGATGAAGATAGTTTTTATATCGGAGACTGATATATACTATAGAATTGTCTGGATTAATGTTTCATCCTAAGTTAGGGAACACCGACAACCGCATATAAGATCTGATCTACAAAATTCAGATCTCATAATGAACTTGATACATTTAAACTAATGACTTGGGTGCTATGGTTTTACGATTTTGACTTTAGGCAATATGCATTAAGCATACTCAAGCATCATGCCCACCTTTGACAATGACTAACTCACCGCCAGCTTCACAGACCATATATTTTTACTGGTAGTTCCAGGACTTTAGTCAAAAATGGTTGGTAGTCAAGCAATAATATTCTATTTATACTTTCGTAACAACTTCAAACATGTGTATCTTTCAATAAATAAATAATATATATCTTTCATACGAAATAGAGTTTATTATTATTATTATTATTATTATTATTATTATTATTATTATTATAGAAAAAAGAATGGTTAATCTATCGACAGCGAATTATTTATTAATTGGTTTAATACTGTCATATATGGAACTAAACAGATGTTTTGTACTCCAAGCTCCATTGAAATTCGATGATCATGGTGAGTTGTTGATGATTTATCTGAGGTTAACTACCACTTGCTTACGTGATTAACTGAGGTATAAATATGTGATTTTATATGTAAGCCACCAGGAAAACAAAAATAAAATCTTAACATTCACTGAGAAAATTGTTTTGATAGAAAAGTAAAAAGTTTGGTTTAGTTATTCTGATAAATTGTTACTCACTTTTCCACAATAGTTGATATTAGTCTACGGAATTGTTGAAAACCAAGGATAATTGATAACCATTTCATTCGTCAGTACATGTCCAGTGTGTCATTCAAGTAATAAATTAAGATCTACTTGTTAATATTGTCCTAACACCACTTGAATTTGTGACATAGCGCTATCCTCTCTCACTGTCGTCAGTGGGTAACTGTTCTATCTCTGATTTGTTTAACTATAGAAGTCCAAATTTTGGACTTTACTCCAAGAGAAACCTGACATAGGTAGGAACAATTATCGGAGTTTTCTAATCTACAGTGTATGCCCAAGTTGTCGGTCCGTGAAGAAAATTATCAATATCACTGAATAAATTTATGGGTTGGTTGGTTGGTTAGAGATGTAGCGAGAATTTGGAACTGGTAGAATAACTGACAGTGCAGTCTTTCTAATACATATCGATTTATTAGCAGGCTTGAAAATGATACTCTAAATCAACTGTTCTCATAGGTGCTTTTCTTCTATTGATCAATATTATAAAACAGTTCAAACAATTTTGTCTGAACTTTTAAGCTGGTATAATCAATTTTGCCAATAAGAAAACAGAATTTCAGTATGTTATCCATTATTTAGATTAGTGAAAAGAAAACTTGCTATAAGTATTATATTATTTATAATGCTGTTTCAAATAGTCATATTTCTTCTAATTCACACAAGAGTATCGGCGGTGCAGGTGCTCACCTAAGTACATGAACCATATTCAAACGTTGGGCTATTTTAAATAAAACTAAATTTACTGTTTTAACAATCTGAAAAACTTAATTATATTCATTTTCCTGCGTTAAACACATAAACAATTTTGTTAGAATCTCCAAACATAAAAAAATCAGCAATAAATAAGTCCTTCAGTTTAAATAATGTTATAAGTAAAATGTTCATTTCCTTGAGACAACTCACATTCATGAATAAGCGTACTCATGTATGAACTGTTAGTAAAATTCAACTAACACATACGAGAATTTCAAGTCAATATTACTTATCTTAACGTTTCTCGACTACCGATATATATAATTCGATGCCGATTATTAATTTTAGGCAATCGAAAAATCAAAGTTGGACACGAAAAGTATAGTTTAGATTCAAAAAATCACCTGAAAATTCGAATTCAAGACTGTAAACTTAGTATGGATTTCACTCCAGCTAATAAAACTGAGATCTCCATGAAAAAAGGTGTTCGTAAAGTTACCATGTGAGTAAAGTACAATTGTGTTATCAAATCAGTATGTAAATATTATGATATATGTCGGTATTTTATACATTTAATGGGCGAAACTGGTACATCAATATTTTGTGGTCATTTCCTTTTAAGATAATTATCGGATTTAATGATTTATGTATACTTATTCATTTTTGGATTGGTTGTTTGAATTTGATGTTTAGGACTTCAGTTGATCAGTTTCTTGTTGGCATATGCATATCCTATGTGGATCGCCTCGATATTGCCTCTAGTCAGAAGCATCATAAGCAGAGACGAACTAAACGGCAGACCTCGATTCCACTGCTAGCCATCGTCCATGATCTCAACCAATACTTCGACAATCCCCAGAACCCATAGTGATAATGACCACGTGCCCACTAGTAACTAGCTTCGAGAAGTAATTCTCGGAGTTCTAGTGAAAAGCTGTTACCAGTGTAGCTAATCCATGTCAGGTAGAGACAAATATCTACCTTAGATATTGAAAGATGGTCGCACAATGTTGTGGATTGGTTGAAGTTAGACATTTGCACCGTTAGATGCTGGATCATTGGTCTAGAGACTAAGCATTCGCGCGCGAGGCCGAAGGTCCTGGGTTCGAATCTCGCGTGCACTGCTGAGGAGTTCCATACTAGGACGGAACGGCCGTCCAGTACTTCAAGGTTTCTAATGGTGATCTAACATTGATCTATTCATGATCTCAACCAAAAACTCAACAATCTCCAAGACCCATACTGATAACCAATATAAAAATGAATAAGAAATTCACAAATACAAGCTAGTGGCTATCTGAGGTCAGTAACGAAGTGGATAACACGATGGAGTTTGGGTAAAGTCCTGGAGTGTATATCAACTTTGTGATGCAGTTATATCAAGCTGATAAGTTCCAAATAGGACGAGAAGCGAGTTGTGGATTTCATTGATGACCACTATTCACCTCTGCTTTAATTTATGTACACTAGATTAAACACTTGACTTGGAATAAGAAAATTAATGCTGAACGGGAAAAGTTTGATTGATAATGGCTAAATAATAATGTATTCAACCTTCGGATACCGAAATAAGTTAGCTTTGTTAGATGAACACTTCGATTACTCACAATATCATGTCCACACTTACATTTCTTAGATATGTAGCCTTGCAAAGACCATGGAATCGTTTGTTGCATCATTAATCAACACATATTTCATGTATGTTAAACGTCGAAGTACTATGACAGCCAATTTTCTGACAAATTTTCCCCATGTCAATTCAATAAGTAGTTATAATGTTTTATCCGATTCTACGCGATCTTAAAAGTATGGTATCTTTTATGATGAATAATCACAAAGTTAACTTATGTAAACAAAGCAATAATCTTTTTGTTAACAAAATATCAGAAGAAACTGTTAAAAATCGTCAACACTTGGACGTACTCAGGATTAAGTGAAACAAAACAATAACTTGTTCATTATGTATAGTGTATAAAGACAATATCGTTATTTGAGTTTTAACTTTCAGTGTTCTAAGCTATCCTAGAAAACATTACTCATTGATTTGTTGTAAAGTCAGGGTAGGTAGAATATTGAAAATAGCCTTATCTTAGGGCTTGTTAACACACACAGAAACCACTTTTCATCAAAAAATTTTGTCACATGTATCTTTTATTTTATTGTACATGTACACATAAGGCTATGAATTCATATGTAAACCCGTAAAGTTTTCCACAATCACACTGTACCTTTCTTGCATTACGATTCAGTTAAAATGAGTTATGTAATTACAAAAAGATGAAATTGAATGACATGCGTAAACTGTATGCAAGGCTTAAGCAGTAAATAGATTTCTGTGTTAGTGAACTACTGTTGTTATTTGAAGTCTTCGGATTCGTTATAAACCAATTTGTTTAACAAATTCACAGTAATTAAGCGCAATGAAAAGTCTCCCAGAAATATAACTTTTCTCTTTATAACTCATTTATTTTTCAATAGAAGTGAGGGATGCAAGAAGATATTAGAGACGTCAGGAATACTAGGTAACGAGAAGAGTTGATTATTGAGTCATAAACAAACTCTGACAGATGGAGAGAAGTTCCGTACATGAGACTATTGTGTAAACAATTGAATGCAAACAAAGAACTACAAATATACTTATTAAACTTTACATGGACGCTTTTATTTTTCTTGACCATTACTGGAAAAACATCATTTCAGTGAATCAAGTATGTTTCAGTATAATATTCAGAATTTGCTGAGAGGTTATTCCGTGAGATATTGGATAATGGGATTGATTTCACTCTCGGCTTTTAAATGAACTGGAACCTTGACCAAGGGATTTACTAATCCATTGCCATACATTTTGCAATGTACAACCATTTTGTGTGAGGTTGTGTTTATTGACTAACTATTGAACAATATGCGCCAATGTCTTACACCTGCTTTGGTCACTTGAATTCAGCTTAGTGTTGTTTGACCATGATAATGATACGTGTGTTTACAGGAGAAAAATAGACAGTACACATATTTTAACCTCATCTGGACTGCGGTCCGTGACTGTATGGATAAAAACTCATTGAATGTCCTTGCATCTGTCTGCCCAATTTATAGCCAAGTTACGCACATATAAACATATCACCCATACTTGCTACACTTACTACATTTAGTCTAATCAATAATTGTAACTGTACGGTTCTCCTGACTGCATGCAATTCGAAGACACAACACGGATAATACCTATCAAACTCATACTTATTTAGCATTGATTTCATGTGGCATGACAATAAAAGTACTACGCAGGGAGATTCTAGCAACAAGGTAAAAATTCCAAAGACTGATAATAAATTGAAGTAAACCAATGATTAACGTGTGTGACTGCTTGCTACGGTACTAGATTGTCCACCTTACTATATAAAATTACAGTCTTTCAATAAAGTCGGAATAAAGATTAGTAGTGTTGCAGAAAAATGATTTTTCCGATTGTCTCTAAGTGCATTAATCTCTTCAGTTAGTATTCTGAAGTCTTAAAATGTTTGTTCAATAAATCCTAAGGTATACCAGTTTTACTCCTCTTTTAAATACTCCATATTTGTGACGACACACTTATCCAACCTGCATTTCCATTATGCAAAGCATTCTGAGAACTTGGGATCGTTTCACATAACGGACACATATGATTTCCTTAAGTTTATTTGATCGGCAACCATCCGGAAAGTCAATCCTTGATTAAAAAGTACAAAGCACAAGACATGCTTGCTGTTTTCACCAACACATTAGTTTGGTGGCTTACCTAATTCAGAATCATTGCTTATAAATTAGTTGATACAGTATTTTCTTCATAGACAGTCTTCAAAGTTTCGTGAAGTTCCTGAGTTTTTCCAAATGATGCTGGTTACTCAATTCATGTAGTTGAAAACACCACGTATATAAATGTAGAATATAAGTGGTGTTATAAATTCAGTGCTAGCTTCCCCACTTTCATACAGTACAAATTTTTCACCTGGCTGAATAATAATGAAAATATATACTGAGTTTACGTACCAGGTATTTGATGCAAATTTTATATAGTACTGAATTATCTGTACTTCTTTTCTCAAAATATTCCAATAGGAGTAATTATTCATCGCATTTATCACTTCAGTCACATACAATACTGATACAATATGAAGAGATTAAACTAACATGATCATCTGCCATTTATGTGAATCATAGTGCATTCAGAGATATTCTTTTAGGTTAGAAGACTATAGATGATTATCAAATAAATTTGTCAAAGCTGACAAATATTGGTTTTTATACATTTTTAATTTGTAGGTCATGAAACTTTAAGTTGTCAGGGTTTTGGTAGAACACGACCATTTTTAACTATAGACAGTTTGTGTTACAATGAAATACAATGAAATATATTAGGTTATTTAATTTTTAACCAAAATAGTATATCTCTACATTTACCAAGATCGCTTGGTAAAAGACAACACCGACTAATAATATCCTTGATTCTCTAAAATATAGTCGATTTAGAATATTCCATTTCAAATTGGTTCTTTAAAATAATCCATTTAAAGATTCACAGTGGTGTAAACAGCTAAGCCAACTCTACCTTACAAAAGCTCTAGTCATTCACGATTTAAATTTTGAGTTGTATGCAGAGAAAGATTTAATTGAAATCGTTTTTTTTACTTATTTGTTACCTTTTCATTATCCACTTATCTACCTTCAAAATAATTTTCCTATATCACATCATTTGAATCTTGGCAATTTCCTTTAGAATTTTTGAATATCATTTAAACAACATCTTAAAAGGAATCGTACGCTGAAATGTTGGTTTTATCATTATAGTAATTCTGCCATGTGGTTTCTAATTGAATTTTTGTTTCTTTTATGTATCATACTATGTTAATTACTGATATTCAATACATAATGTTATTGTCTATCAATTTAAACATACAGTTTATAACGTCTATTCGTTGTAACGTCGAATAATCTGTAAGTAGTTCAAACACTCGAATATTATAGTGTATCTTTGAACATGGATTTCAATTTAAGCCCTAAACTCCTTGATATTTGTGTTTTCAATCTGGTGTAGTAGGCTGAGCCATAGTGTCATATACATAGTGAACGATTGAGGATAACTCTAGACTCTTGAAATGAAACCGTTCGGTAAAACTTACATTCCGATGTGCATCACTCACCCACTAAATGAGCAAAAAGTGGACGAAATCGTTAGATATAGGATACTTACTGAACATTGGAAACATTGTATATAAATACACTTATAAATGGTAAATATGTTAGATTACTCAACAAAAATAAGTGAGAGGAGTATGACTGCTAACTACTTAATTATCGGCCACGCGTATACAGCCTCTGCCGGGGAAGTCCTACTCATTGCCTTCTCGTGGCGGGGGTGTTGTCTACGAAAATGAGAGGACGAAAAGCGAATGTCCGGCGCTTTAACCGGATTCCAAATCAATGGTGCACATGGGCTCCAGTATCCTGCGGGAACGAATGGCGTATGAACCAATCGTTGGTCACCGGCTACCATGGGACTGCATCTCCTTACGATGCTCCACTGCCTTGTGGGTTAGACCTTTAGGTCAAAGGCTCGGGGAGTGGCCCCCTAAGATAACCACCTGCTTCGGTTTGGGCACCCGGGCAGTATGCGGACGATATTGTCTTACTGTGCGATAATGCCCAAGGCATGCAATCCGCACTTAATCAGTTGGCAATCAGTGTCCGTAGGTATGGTATGTGCTTTGCACCTTCGAAGTGCAAAGTACTTCTACAAGACTGGCAGGATTCTAATCCTGTACTCACCCTGGATGGTGAGCAGATAGACGTAGTTGAGAAGTTCGTGTATCTGGGTAGCTGCATAAGTGCTGGTGGGGGTGTGAGTGATGAGATCAATGCACGTATAGTGAAAGCCAGAGCGGCTTATGCCAATCTGGGCCACCTTTGGCGCCTTCGTGATGTTAGTCTGGCTGTAAAAGGCCGGATCTACAACGCGTCGGTGAGAGCAGTTTTGCTCTATGCTTGTGAAACCTGGCCTCTCCGAGTTGAGGACGTTAGACGACTCTCTGTGTTCGATCATCGCTGTCTCCGAAGGATTGCTGACATTCAGTGGCAACACCATGTCAGTAATGCAGAGGTTCGGCATCGTGTGTTCGGGCACAGAGATGATAACTCAATTGGTGTCACCATCTTGAAACACCGACTTCGGTGGCTTGGACATGTTCTCCGAATGTCGTCCCAGAGAATTCCACGTCGTGCATTATTTGCCGACTCTGGGACTGGTTGGAAGAAGCGGAGAGGTGGTCAGTGTATGACATGGCGTCGTGGCATGAAAGAAAGCTGCAAAGGACTGGCTTGTGTTGGTCCTTCACGACTCCCTGGTTGGGGTCCGAGAGATGGTACTACACAGTGGCTAGAGACGTTATCAGATATGGCTCAGAATAGAAGCCAGTGGCAATCCTGCTGTAACCTTCTTTTACTTTCTTCATAAAAAGTGGTTGTGTCTCCTTTACCTGAAAGATTTCTTCTGATTGTACCTTTTCGTTCCGTCGTTACTACCACACTACCTTACTCCAATCTCTTCGTCATTGTTCTCTTTTTCTTTTGCGTTCCTTAGTTTTTTTTCTCTTTCTACTTCTCTTCGAATTCCCATTGTTTTGTGTGGCGCATATATATTGGCGCTCTCTTGTACCAATATTTATGTGTTCAAATAAATAATAAATAATAATTATCGGGTTTACCAATTACATTTTATTAAATATCATGATTTTTATAAAAGAAATGAAAATACATGAAATACATATAGAAAAA